CAAGCCACAACGCGTGACGTCACACTTAAGGCCAGTACCGTTTCGAGGCTTTACAAGCACAGACCTTCACATTGGTTCGCGATTCAACCATTAGTACACCTTGGAAAGCATCGTGACGATCACTGCACAGAGCCAAAACTCAGGTTGCAGTTCTGCTTCGCGATGGCGGCGCTGCCCGAGCGAATGTAGCAAATCTTGGCAGCGATACAGTCGCCTGTGCACGCCGCAGTGCGTATGCTCTCCTTGCCCTGAAGAGTGTTGAAGGTCTACAGAACATAACGTCAGCCATACTACCAGGCTGGGTTCTCAAGAGAGGGCGTACAGAGACGAGACTGGAGTTAGCCTCCATCTGCTCAGTGACGAGGTGCCACCAAGTCGCGTTGAGAGGGTCGTTGGGGCCCCAGGTGATGTTTGCGCCGTAAGTGTCGCGCGTACTGTACTCGTAGATCCAACTTGGTCCGGCGGTCGGCCCAAGGACATCTTGCTGCTCGTCGAGCGCGGGGTATGAGTTGACATCCGACCGCCAGGTGTGCGCGTCGAGCACGTCGAATGTCGTGGCGTCCACCTCGTATACACGGAAGCCCGAGTTGAGGTTCGTGAGCGGTGTCACGGACGGGCCGATCCACGCCTGCGAGAGCGCTGTCGAGGAGTTCTGCACAGTGGCGTTGTTGGCGTAGTAGAGGATGTGCTGGTCTTCGTGTGTGTGGCCCCAGAAGATGTCTACACATGATCAGTATTGCTGCGGGAGCAAAGGAAGAAGGGACATACTAGCAATGACATGAGGCGAGAAGCGGTCGACAATCTGATAGACTGTTGAGGCACTTCAGCGAGGGCAGTGAGCGACAAACATCCATTTCCTTACAAAGATCTGTTGGGTTGACGAGAGGGTTGGACCCATCCCATCCGGTCAGAACATGCCCAACGATCCAAACGCGCTCGCCCGCATCCTCCGCGGCTTGCAACTCGTCGGTCAAGAATCGAAGCATCCCAGATGGATCGTGGTTCGAGATGTTGATGTACGCAAACCAGTTCGCCCTATACCAGAGATCGGTGTTGAGCGTGATGACACGGAGGCCGTCATGACGTTGGACGGAGTAGCCAGCATAGTGCGCCTTCGCCTCCTTGACCGCGCTAGCGTCGATCCAGCCTTCCTTCTCCCACAGGGCCGCGACATGGTCGTAGTTCCAGCTGAACTGCGAATCGAGCGCACCAGGGAGCCCGTGCGGTGAGTCTTGCGCCTGGTTGTAGCTATCATGGTTGCCCAGAGCGGCGTAGACCGGGCCGGCATTGAGAGCCTTCTTGAACAGGTCATACACGACTGTCTCGGTGTACTCAACGTACGCCCGAGAAAGTTGGTTCTCCGAATCATGCGAGACTAGATCGCCCGTGTAGACCGTGAAGTCGAAGCCTGTGTCCTGCGTGCTTGTCAGCACAGGGATCGCCTCGATCGTTGCCCCTGCGAGCATGTACGGCGTGTCGCTGCGCGATTTCATCTTGTCAGCGTATAGACAAAGTGCATCTGAACCACTCTTATTCACCAAAGGTACGCGCCGAATCGTGGTGCAGGGAACACCGTCGTGTTCTCGCTGCCGGTCTGGTGATTATTTTGGCGGCAGCAAAGTCCGCTCGTGCAGTTGGCTTCCGAGCCGGTCGCGTACCGCGGATCGAGATGGAAGTCGCTAAGATGAAGGACCTTCAGCTTCTCGCCGGTGCTCTGCTTGGGCGCTGGGGCAGGGTCAGGCTTCGGTTTGTCGAACCAGCCCGTCAAGTTGAGCGGCGTTGCGGGCGGGAGCGGGCATGATGAAGCGATGAAGTTCTCGCAGATCATCTGGCCGTCGAAGCCGCCGACGTCCGCGAACGCGAGGACTTGTGTGATGACGGCACCGGTAGCCTTCGCTCCCCAAAGTGTCTCGCAAGAGCTGGATACTTTGAAGGCTTCGCAGATAGCGACAGCGATATCCGGGCCGTACTGTGGCGCCGCAAGCGCGACAAACTTGCCGACACCGAGTGCAGCCTGGCATTGAGCGCACGTGCCGCTGAACGCGACGGTGTTGTTGGTGATCGAGGCAAGCTGTTGGAGCGCTGCAGTCAAAATAGACTTTTCCGAGGCCTTCGGATTCGGCAGAGGGTGTGGATCCACGTCGTTGAGCTAGTGAAAGACGCACGGATATGAACACAGGTATAAACCTGTACAACGCAGGAAGCAAACGCACGGTAGGAATTGTCTCTGGGTTAGTCAGAGCATCAGGGTAGACCGTGTGCTATACGGTACATGCATTAGCCTTCAGACTAGTTGACCACGAGTAGGAGGTTGGCGCACCAAGACCGGGTCACTGATCTTGGGTGCGGGTTGTTCCGCCGTCGCGGTCGGATTGTTATAGTACTTGCTGAACAGCGAGGTCGGGAAGACTCCGGGCGCTGTATACGAGCCGGGACCAAGCGCGAAGGATAGGGCCGAGGACGTGCGGGACGTGTGCACTGCAGCAAGCGCCTGGGTCGTGAGCGCGAAGACCTTCATGAGCGTCGACGTCGACCGCATCTTGGACCGCACTCGTCGTCTCGACGGTCTACCGGGCGCCTACATCATGCTTGGCTTTATATGATGATGGGCACAGCGCATGGGCCAGGAAGCAGCGGCACGAACGTGCTTGTGCATCATCAGCTTCTGTGCTCAAGAGAGGACGCAGGAGCGCGCAGGCCCGCTGCAGGGAGAGCAAGGCACCGGCCCGCACAAAGATAACCGCGCGCGATCAACTCGCCCACGACAACGAGCGCCGTCGGGCGCACGTTCATGAAAGAGGGTGAAAAAATAGACATCGTCATGAATGAGGATATAATGTTACGCGGGAGCAGAGTCGTAGGGTATTATGCAAAATAAACGGTTGGGGAAGGGCAGATCGTAGTACAAATGACACAGGGTAGCACGGCAGTGACGGGGCAATGGACGGAAACGGGGGCATTACGTGCGCGTAAGTAAGCCGAGCCGGAGTATATTACAGGATGTTCTTTTGGTTGGCTGTATCGTGTATCGACGTGGTGGGGGAGAATCCGGGAACGATGAAGTGCAAGCAGGCAGCGAGGAGGCAGGTAATTGTCATGCGAAAGTCGAGTGTTTGGATGCGGGTGAAGGGTGAATGTGGGCGTTCGGAGGCGCGCGGGCCCTGGAATTGATGGATGACATCTATGGCTTCGGCGGTTGCCACTGGATGCAGACGCGGCGACTTGATAACTTTGATCGGCGGCGGCCTCCGCGCCCCGTATGCGGCGCCGGAACGGATCCGTGTACAGCTCCGCACGCCGTGTAGCACATCGGCGGGAGCAAGAGTGCGGGACGATGGGCTGGCGAGGCGCGCGCTACGCGCTGCTGCCACTGCTGCTGCCCATTCTTGAACCGTGTCCGACGGCTTTGCGCTCGACAAGGTCCTGCGAGATCTTGGTAGCTCGGGCCTGCGCGCGCTCCTCGGCCTGTCTGCGCGAGTTCATCCAGAGCCGGAGCGTGTAGTCGTGCAGCGAACGCGCGTATTGCACGAACGGATCCTCCTCCGCGGTGTAGTATGATGATGATGAGCTCGAGCTCGAGGAGGCCGACGGCGATGCAGCGAACATGGTAGTAGTACTAGTAGTAGACGGTGGGTGTGCGAACGGGTGGGCGTCACGGTACAAGCAAAGAAAAAATGGGACAAGGGGCAGGCGACCTTATAGGCGGGACGTCTCATGTCCGAGGGAGCCGCTCGCGATGCCAATTTCGAGGGTTCAAGTTGGCGCTGCAGCCGCCCCTCGCTCCTGGTGGGGCGATTGATCTCGTGCGCGAGCACTCACCCCGTTTACGCGGTTACCAGATGTCCTTTCCTGCCCGGCCGTGTCCCTCCACCCGTCCTCGATGCATACACGCCCGCTTGCAAGATGAATGATATATCGCTGGTTAGTCTTTCCCTGCGCGCTGCTAGAGGATCGTCTCTCTTAGGCGGATGCACTCGTCGATATTGGCCGCACCACATGTCGCAACACCCCGGCTCCGCGCGCCGTGATATCGCGTTCCGTTACTTTACCAACGGCGCCTTGGGGCCCACGATCATCCAACTACCGCAGACTCCGCCTATCTGTGTACATACGTACATGGTCTGATGAACTTCCTATGTCAACTCTAAAGTGAACGACGCTTCTGGCAGGAAAGAACAAGAAGAAGCTTCTGAAGTGGCGAGTCAGTGCCGATGGGAAGGCATAGCAGGCTACGCAGTTCCCGGTTCGGGGTCGTCCTGCGCGTCCCAAGATATATTGTTCTACCCCGCTCGCAACAGAAGGAGACGGGCACCTACCTAATACGCCCGCGAAGAAGTGGGTCGGTAGTCGGCACGAAGACTGCTATGTAAATCTCACTCCAAAGAAAGGGTGCGATATCCATATCCATCCATCCGAGTCTATCCATCATGTTATGGGGGACGCACGCATCGGGATCGTGTCAAAGGACGTGAAGAGTAGCGTGTTTGAGTTCGTAAAGTACTATGGGGTGTCCATGCCGAGCATACACGGCGCGAAGTCGTTAAGGGTCCAAGAAAGAAGTGACCAAACAGCACAGCAAAAAGAAAACATGACAAAAAGAAGGCGATACTCTATACCACGTAACCCAATGTCCATTCCGCGAGGCACTGGTCACTCAACACCCGGTCAACCCTGTGCAGCGCTTCGCCTCCTGGCACTCTTGTCCTGTACGCTTCGGACGTCCAATACGGCGCGCAGGCCGTGATACCTCTCCAGGTCGAACGCTTCGCCGCGCGCGACACCCGCAGTATCGTCAGGTAACCATATCGCTGGTGGCGGTGCCAATAAAGCAGGCGCGTACAGCATCTGTCCCTCGCCAGCAGCCGCTGCCGTCCAGGGCAGCGCAGGGAGTCGCGGCGGGGCATCCGGGTGCGTGCGCGCGGCAAATTCCGTCTGCGTGAGGTCGTCGATGGCTTCGGTTTCTACGTGTCGCATCGGCGATCATCATCAGCAACGAATCTACGAAGAAGATCACGACAATGAATGCCAAATACGAATGAGGTATGGGGGATCCTTGCAGGGTCAGAATCGGGGGTGCGGGGTACGATGGCGCAAGCGGAGACGTTCGTATCAAGATGTGTCATGGGGTCTCCCGCGCCACATTGGTTAACGACACAGCGACGTGCAGAATGGAAAACAGACGGGATAGCGAGAACTCACGTAGTGGCACTGGTGAGCGAGTCTGATATGCGCTTGTTGGCATAGCCAGCGTCTGATTCATCATGTCCAGCACGCTCGCGTAGCTACCGCGCGGTCCGCCGTTTCTATGGCTGCTCTCCGCGCTGATGCTCCCATCGCTGTAGGTGGTGTTCTTCCTTGGGCGCGCAACGCGCACAAAAGAAGCCAGGGCTTCCCGCGTCACAGGGTGGAGTGATCGCACGGATTTGCGTCTCGTGAGGAAGAACGTCAAGCCTTCAACAAGAAGCACGACGACGAGCGCCGAACCGAGAAGCGCCCCCGCCTCAGGCCACAATCGCCGCGTGAGCAGCTCCAGTCCCATGAGAAACGGCTGAAGCGCCAGTACGGATGCGAAGCGCTTCGTCAGCCACAACTGTAGCACGCCTCCTGTCTGCGCGAGCGTTCGGCCGTAGACGTATCCGACGAGGTATCGATGCGCTGTCCGATAGAGTTGTCAGTTGAACTCGCGAGGAGATGAGTGGTAGATAGTGCCGGATGACATACCGATCAGAGTGAGCAGTAGGAGAATGCAGATCGCTGGCCCGATCAGTGGGAAGATGAGGGAGAAAGTGGACGCGAAAGTGAAGGCAAGTACCGCGCACGAGAGCGCGAAGACGGGGCTGTACGGGCGTGGATAGAGAGCTGTGGCACAAGATCGTCAGTTGATGAAGATGCATCAGGGCAGGGTAGCGTGCGTACCGCGAAAACGCTGGCGTGGTGTTGTAGATGCCTTGTAGGTGCGCAACACGCGGCGGAGGCGGATAGGCTGAAGCATAAGCAATCCGGGAGCGATGAAAGCAAAGTTGAGTATGATAGCGAGCACCAGGATCGAGATGTAGACGCTTCCATCGGCGACAGAACCTGCATCGCCTCCAGGAATGACTGCAAAAGTGTGTGTGGCGAAAATGAGGGCTCCCGCGGTGATGAGCCACATAACAGCGACAGTAAGGACAACATAGAACGCCGTCTGTGTGACGAGGAGCTCGCCAGCTGACACCGATACAGTTGCGACGAACCGCGAAGCCCATTGCAGTAGGCTGAGTGCGGCAAGGATGAACAACGTTGCACCGACCGCAGGCGCAAGAACCGTCGCCAGGCCCGAAGTGAAGTTGTCGTTATTCAGCGCGCCCAGGAAAGGTACATAGTGCGCATAGTTCGGTACAGGTGCGAGTGCAAGGCCAGCGGCGGCCGCCACTGCGGGGGCCGTTAGGATTAACATGTGTGCGATCTGCAGGGACAAGGTACGTACATCCAACTGTGAGGAGAAAGCCACAAAGTATCACGAGCGTCCAGTATACGAGCCATCGCAGCTTCCGTTGACCGGGTGTGAGCTGTAGCACGTCCCATCGCACATCTTCCTTACTTCGCCCCTCGAACAACTTTGCGCCTGGTAGATAACGCAATCCGCGTCCCACAAGGATCCACCCCTTCACGTCTACACCTTCACCAATAGACGCGTATGCTTCTCCTTGAGCAGCCTCAACTTCTGCGTTGACAGCCTTCAACCTCGTCCTCCACGCGCGAATATCGGCATACACCTCCCCAAGTGCATCGTGGTCGAAGCCCGTCAATGGCCGTACAAACGGCGGCGCCCGCTGCAGACGCAGGTGAGGTGGGGGTGCTTCGGCCCCCGAGGGTGCCGGTCGCAAGGGTATACTTTCTCGCTGCTCGCTCGGCGTAGGGCCGAAGATCTTCGGTCGGCGTATAAACTTGAACGTGCTGGATAGGCTTGAGCGTTTGCCTGTGCCGTTACCGTTGCTATGACTAGGAAAATCCGGGGGTGGTGATGGCTCGCGCGACATGTCCTCGCCAGGGACGGGTGACGGACGGGAAAAGTCTATCGGTGCTTCGTGTGCGACGTCGACCCACTCTTCACCCTCGGTCGGCTCGGTAGTATCATCGTCTTGGCCCTCTACGAAGTTCGGGCCATAACGCGACGGATCCGGAATGGGTTCGACGGGCGACACAGGACGGAAGTGCTCGCCAGAGGCACGTACACGTGGGCCGAGAGGAAACCCAAGTAAGCTGCGCGAGCGCGAGCGGTTCATGTTCGTCGCGCTCATCTCCTGAAAACGCGTGCCGATTACGCGCTGGTTGACACTGTCCGTGAAGCTAGGCTGACGAGGCCCCACGCCAGGGCGCCCACTACCTGAGCCTGACACACTCGGTACGCTGACCTGGTAGAACTTGGACGGTGCAACATACGACACAGGCGCGTACTCATGCCCGTTGGACGAGCTGGTCGCCTGCTTATGTCGTCTGGCCTTCTTTGGTTGGAGCGGACGTGGTCGGCTGATATGAGCAAGACCCTCAGGAGCCGGGTCCAATGTGGGACGCTGTAAGTCTTCGATGGACGCCTCAGGGGAGGTGAGCCGGAAGGAGTTGATATATTTCGTCTCTGCCATCTCGAGCTGTTCGAGAATAGCGTCGCGCTCCGCGACGAGAAAATCGAGGTGGCTGGTATCGCCGATCGTGTACAGGCGCTCGATATCGATTTCAGGGAAGGCTTCCTCGCCTGAGCGACCTGATGTGTGGGGCTGTTGTGCGCCGAGTAGAGTGGAACCTAGGCCCGTACGGTGAATAAATTCCTTGATCTGCATCTCGCCCCAGCCAGCAAAACCTGGCGCACTGCGGCTGCTGATCCATGCCATCTCAAGGCCTTCAAGATGCACATCTGTCCAGCGACGACGGTATTTTGCCAGACGATGGTACTCTCTCAATAACTTGATCAACGCCGGCAGAACACCGAGAACGATGAGGAATGCGGCGAGAATGATGACGCGGATGCGCGCTCTCCAGAAATAATCCGTTCCATTCACAACGGTACGAGCGACGAGGTCGCGGACGGCGAATCCCACGGTGGTAGTCCTGATGGAGTCGTCTTGAACGAGTCTGAGAAGGCGAAGGAAGCTGAGATCATTGAGTGTTGAGTACTGTCCGCCGAGAGTCGGTTGTGCGCTGGAGGACTCCAGACAGGGTGTGTTGACGAGGTATAGAGGTATAGCGGCGGCTAGAGCCAGGATGGTCCATCCAAAGACGATGCGGAAAGCATGCCATAGCGTGCGCTGAGCGAGCTGCTCGTCCGACGGGAATATTTCGGCGTCCTGTCCGGCAGACTGACCGGCGTGGTCCACGCTCTTGTTCACAGAAGGGACCAGTGGCACGGGAGGGAAAAGGAACGCCCAGAACGTGTTCCTCAATGGCTTCGGGCGCGTTCTTCATGGGAGAAGCAGAATCAGAATGCCGATTCGTGTGGCAAACGTTATCTCACGCACTCTTCGGGCACAAACCACTCTCGTAAACCGTACACTTGTCGAAAACGTGGTCGTAAAGCAGCAAATAAGAGCTTATGGATGGTCAGTGTCTGAAGAAGACGCGCTGCGATAAGGACATACCCAGATGAGTAATCCTACAACCGTAGTAAGTACAAGAGTGGATAATAATCCGTCGACAGACGAGTCGAGTCCGTCCCCCAGGCATACAGTATTCTGAGCGTTTGCGAGCGTGCCGATAGAGCTGCCATTGGATGTTGCGGACCCGGAGGCGCCGAGAGCAGAAGAGGTCATTGTAGCAGTCGAGGATAGAGAGGTCGTAAAAGGTGCATTCGTCGAGGTCGTGAGGCTTTGGGGGGTATTCGTCGCAGAGCTGGGCTGGGTATTTGACGACGCGGTGTTAGAGACAGAGTCTGATAAAGAATTAGGGAGGGAAGAAGAGAGATTAGGGCCGGTAGCAGTAGCCGTGGTAGCACTGTGGGCGGTGGAGGAGTCCGATGCGCCGTGGGTGGTCGTCGCGGCGTTTGAAGCCGTCTTTGCCGGATTCGTTGAAGTCGAGCAGTCAGACGTGGGCGAGGAGGTCGAGGTCCACCACCAACGCGCGTGTAAGGCGCGCTCATCTACATCATCGTAGGCGCCTTCTTCTTCCCCATGCACGTGCCAGACGTTAGAGTTCATCAGGGTCGAAGCCAGGACCGGGTATATTTCTGTCTTTCGACAGCGTACGGTGGGAGGCAGAAGTAGACGGAACGTAGACGAGGCAAGGGAAGAAACAAGCGGACATTCGGCGTGCTGGAGGTGAGGCTGTCACTTTTCATTTCGCTTGGACGCGTCTCAGGAACAGTCGGCGTCATAGTTCGCGGTTAGGCTCCGCTCGTTGCGATCGGCGCTGTGGCCCGTTCCGCTAGCAACGCTGTGGGCGCGTATGAGTCCATCCGGATTCAACGTGGAGATCACGTTTGCTTTGTTCGCTCTTTACATTTTTATTGATACTATGGATCGGTCTGGTACAGTAGTCTCGAGGTGCTCACTCTCTTTGAGAACAAGGACAAATAAGGCTGCACTTGCGTTCCTTCTCTCGGCACCAGTGAACACTCCCACACGTGGAGCGGTAAGATCATGCGACACTATCGCCGCTCCTACATTACTATCGAGCAGTTTCACCCATGAACAGTGAACACAATGGTAGACAGTGTACGGCGGTGTGCTCAAAGCTTTACGAACCTTCCCTCGGGAGCAGATGCATACTACGCGGGAAAACTTGATTTCGGCTCATGGGCATAGACCACCAATTGCGAGGCCGGAGATGCACCGAATCTCATTATGAGGGTCTAGAGCTATGCTGGGGAGTACACGCCGGCTTGCTCGCAGCCCGATGAGCAACGAATAGGCGAACGCCGCTGTTATAACTGGCCTTACGGAGCCTTGCCGTGACAAAGACGGGTGTATGAGCCAGTCTGTGTATGCTCCTAGGCGCTTCGCAGGCTGGAATCACCGTCCACAAAGTGCGGAAAACGAAGCATAGAATCGATAGCAAAGACAGCGCGATGATGGTACAGTGATATACAGTGAGCCGCATGCCCCGCGTGCTGCATCATCCAACGAACGCTTGTGCGCAGCACAGCCCCAACCAATCGCAGATCGGCCCGACGCGCGCCAACGGCAGCAAGAGCATCTGCAACACAAGGGCCGTCCAGTCAGACGCTGAGGGCCCTGGCTGTATCACAATGACCAAACTCACCTGAGCCTGAGCTGACACCCGCAGTCCAATCATCATCGAGCGCCATAAACGTCTGCGGCTACACCTCCGTATAAGCGGGACTGGCCGGCATGTTCGCGTAGGGTGATGGGGATAGCGGCATATGTGCGTAGCCGTGGCCAGGGAGGGGGGAGATGGGAAGAGGGACGTTCGCCGCGAGTACGACATCGCCAGAGTCAAGGTCGTATGCTGGCGCGGCTTTCTCGAAGACCGTCACTTCGCCAGTGGGCGAGCGTACAACGTCGACGAGCGGTTTGCGGCATGTCACCCACGGCGGCGCATCGCCCAGAGGCTCGGGAGAGGGGCAGCGGTCGCGCAGCGTCTTCTTTGACTTCTTCTTCGATGGCGTAGACGGTGTGAACGGTGTGCGAGGTGCGCCTGATGCGGGTGGGGGGCTTATCGGGGTAGAGGGTGGGAGTACAGCTGGTGCTGCGGCAGCGCTAACGGGTGCGTTTGGCGACGGAGCGGTGACCATGTCCATGACAATGGCTTTGCTAGACGTGCAACCCATGTCTGAGAGTGTGATTGGAGGTCAAGGTCGGGAGACTGGGCGGCTCAGAAACGGGGCGATGCTGAGTGGCGGCTTAAATAACCTGTTTGCGCGTATGTCAGGGTCAACACATGTGCAAAGCGCAGGAGAAGATGTGCTCACGGGGTCGAGCAAGTAAGGAGAAGAAGGGTGGAAAAAGGAGGGACGATGGGACTTCTGCTAGGGAAGCAGAAGCAGGGACCTGCAAGGGCGGGTGGAAGAAAGTGGGTCGTGAAGAGGACGCTCGTGACAATAGATGAGCGTGGCCTTATGTACTTTCTTCGCGGTCAGGGCGCGTACCGTGCAGTGCTTGCGATCCCTTAAACAAGGGCAGCCAATAGTCGGAGGATCAACTGCCTGCGCAACGGGTGATGCACCAATACAAGCGAGCGACGTCTTCACTACCGCTTCTCCGCGGCGCCGCCGCCCGTAGCTAATTGTCCCTCGATAAACTAGTATGTATTCTCGTGTCATCGCAGAGTTCAGACGGCTTTCAAAAGTACTTTTCGTAGATGGACTAGAAGGGTATCGAATGCTGAACATCTTCAATCCGTATCCATCGTCCCTGATGTGGCGCTGCCTGATAAACGATGGGGGCGACGGTACTCCAAAGATAGGTCTCCCACGTAGCACAGAGACACACGCTACGAGATATGGCAGCACATATACGTCGCCTATGGACCGGATGCAAGGCTTGAGCGTGAGTATGTATCTCAAACGTCATGAGTGCGAGCGGCAAAGTGCAACTTCTGTGACGAGTGAACATGACATCGGCGCGAGCCACGTGTTGATGCCGAAGGACGTGGTAGACGCGCGGATCCTACGGACACAAGTCGAAGTTGTACTCCGCCATCACGTCCCCGCCGTACTCAGGCGTACCACTCACTCTCCTGAATCGCGAAATAGCATATCTCTACTATGGCCAGTCATGGCTTGAAGCAGGTAGACTCATCACTCGCAGAATTGTCACTAGGTGGAATTGACTAGCCAGTAGACTGCCTCGCAAACGTTGCAACAGGCGCAGATGAACGCGCTTTTGTCGCTGCTCAATCTGAACGACCCCATCACCGCAGCATCTCCTACCGCCGGTAAAGCGTCAACGGGCTTGAAACTTCCCGCGACATCAGGACCACCTGTGTGGAAGATATTGGTGCTGGACCAGCAGACGAAGGACGTGCTTGCGACGGTCTTGCGCGTGCAAGATCTGCGGGATATTGGTGTGACATTGCATGTGTATGTTTATATATGCTTATGAAGCTGAGTGTATAGCTGATTAGCCGCAGGCAGCTTCACGCCTCCCGTCCTCCATTACCCGATGTGCCCGCCGTCTACTTCATCTCCCCGACTTTAGCGAATATTCAGAGGGTAGCGGAAGATCTACAAAAGGGACTTTACGAGTCGTTCCACATCAATTTCTCAGAACCACTCTCGCGGTCACTGCTCGAAGAACTCGCGGCTTCAGTTGCGCGCGATGGGACGGAGGAACTAGTCGCTGAGGTGCGTCATGTCTGGATACAGAATCCCCGACCGTGATGCTAATACATAGATCTGAAGGTCGTGGATCAGTACTTATCATTCATCGCCCCCTCTGCCTCATTGTACTCGCTACTCCCACCGTCCGTTCCGGTAGCTGCAACATCCCCAACACCCGGCCAACCAGGGCCTTCCACCCCTACATCTTCATATGCTATCCTCAACTCTCCAGCCTCTTCTGAGCAGGATATTGAGAGTGAGATTGAGAGGATAGCCAGCGGACTGTTTAGTGTGGTAGCTACTATGGGTATGTCCTCCGCTATCATGCGCGGTTATACACGCTGATATTAGTTTAGGACAGGTGCCAATCATCCGTGCGCCAAAGGGTAATGCCGCAGAGATGGTTGCTAAAAAACTGGAGACTCGTATCCGAGATTCGCTCATCACGGCTCAGCGATCCCAAGGGTCCTCGTTATTCTCGCAAGATGCGGCAGGGCTGTCCAATCTTCAGCGACCCTGTACGCTCGCCATGTTGTAAAACCTATTGCCCGATTCTGATCCCAAACCCACAGTGCTTCTCTTACTTGACCGGAATATCGACCTCGTGCCCCTCATGTCGCACGGCTGGACATACCAAGCCCTCGTATCGGACTGCCTCGAGATGAAGTTGAACCGGGTGACCGTTACACAACCGCAGAAGAAAGCTTTTGACCTCGACTCAAAGGATTTCTTCTGGGCAAAGAACGCTGCGAGCCCGTTCCCACAGGTTGCAGAGGACATCGATGCAGAGCTCAACCGGTATAAACAGGACGCGGCAGAGATCACTCGGTCTACTGGTGTGAGCGACGTCAATGATATCTCACAACTGTGAGCCGGTATCCGGATACGTCGTGCCCATGTCGCTGACGTTCATCTTTTAGTGATATCTCGCACAATGCGGCACACTTGAAGACAGCGATCACCCAGCTACCGGAGCTCACTGCTAGGAAGGCAACTTTGGACACGCACATGAATATTGCTACCGCATTACTAGAGGAGATTAAGAAGCGCGGGCTTGACGAGCTCTTCAGCACAGAGGAGGCGATCACCAAGCAGACTACTGCTACGCTGCTCGAGACGTTAAGATCTCCCAAAGGCGAGGGTGCTCCAACCCCCCTCGACAAGCTTCGTCTTGTTCTCGTCTTCTACTTGTCCAGTCAGGACAATGCGGTTTCGAAAGACGACATCGCCGCGCTCGAGACTGAACTAAAAAGGGCCGGCGCTGACGTTGCTGCGTTCGAGTATGTTCGTAAGCTGCGCGAGATCTCGCGTATGATGGTGCCGACTATTCAGGGCACCGCAACCCCGAACATCGGTGGTGGGCAGGGAGGCGAGTTATTTAAGGGTATCAGTTCCCTCTCCAACCGCGTACGTTCCGAGCACTCCAAATGCTCATGACAAGCGCTAACGCCCGATGAACTCGCAGCTTGCAGGGCGCTTCGGTGACACCGGTCTGGAGAACCTGATCTCCGGCGTGAAGAACTTCTTGCCTGTGAATAAGCTTTTCACAGTGACGCGCCTAACCGAAGCTCTTATGGACTCGTCCGCTGCATCAAACCAGTCGCTCGCGGAGACGGACGAGTTTGTGTTCTTAGACCCCCGCGCACCACGCTCGAGCGCTGCGCCCGCATATGGACAAGTTGGTGCACCTGGTGCCGGAGCGCGTGCACGCAGGATGGCCTTTTCCGAGGGCCTTGTCTTCATGGTGGGCGGCGCAGGCTATGTCGAGTATGGGAACCTGGAAGAATGGGCGACGAAGGCGAACAAGAAGATTAGTTACGGAGGTACGGAGATATGGGACCCTGAGGGCTTCGTGGGCGTCTTGCAGGAGCTCGGGGCTAAGAAGTAGAGGCGGGGCCTAGACACACACACTGGGACACTATTTTTTGTTTGTAGACGTGGATGGATGGGCGCACGCATTTGACTTCCGGTTGTTCATCGTACCGTATCTTTGTTCTCTCGGCTTGCTGGCAAAACATGTTGCCATAGTTTCATACACAAAAACATGTTGAAGGCGCGGCGCGGCCATCGTGGTGTAAGATTTGAGATATATGAGCACTAGGTACGGCCTGGCGCGCGACCCAGACGCGGCTTTCGACCACGACCGCGCGCAACGCAGCCCTTTGATGACGGCGGCCATGCTCTGGTTCCGCCGTCTTCCGCTTGTGGCTCCGACACTCCCCGGTCTCTGAGATATCCGAAGCGGGACATGTCAACGTTCATCCTGTTCTCTGCAGCATCATGCCGCTCGGCAGGCCCGAAAAGCACTGATAGGCATGATCATGACACCGTCTAGCCCGCTGGCGGTGTCCGGCCAGAGCGCCGATCCGCTGGTTGAATGGGTCCGCACCGTCGATCTGACGACGATGTGTTGTATATAGAGGCGTGCCGTCCGGCCGTTGGTGTCGTTTCACAACGGCGCCACCAACCCCTGGTAATACCTCCTTGAGTCTTCGCTTTCAACCATCACGTCTATAGCCATGGTATACCGACCTGCGCTCCCCTCCGAGCTCTGGCTTCTCGTCTTCCACTATGCCGCAGATTGCCCTAAGGCGCTCTACCCGGCCGACTATACGCCCTTCGAGCCAGACTCTGATGACATGGAGGCCGCAGAGCATATGTCACTTGCGATCAAGCGCGCTATCGTACTCGTCTGCAGGCGGTGGCGTGACCTAGGCGAAGAACTTCTCTACGAGGGACTTCACATTCACCATGGCGTACCAGCACTGTGTGACTCCTTCGAGCACGGTCACGGCTGCGACCTCGCACGCCGCGTGCGCCGCGCCGTGCTACCCTATACGCAGACGCAGACCCCGACATATCGCCCGGTTCCCGCGCTGTCGATCCTCACGCACTGTCCACATCTCGAAGTGCTTGTACGCCCGTGCGGCCGACGCGCCCTGTACCCTCAATTCGAGTTCTCAACGGACGCACCGAAGCTGCCAGCGCTCAAACGCCTCGAATGGTGGCAAGATAACTCGGCATGTTGCACGGGCGGAATTAACTCGCTTGACGACGTCCTCAAGGCAGCGCCGCATGTTCAATATCTTACGGTGTGTCTCCTTCACGCCATCGGGTCACAGGAAATGCCGATGCTTATCACCATCACAGTTCGGCGGACAGATGTTCATCACCGCGCTGCGCCAGCAGCAGCGTCTACATCTCCCGGAACTCCATACGCTCCGGCTTCGCGCGGTGAACGCGATAGCTATCCGGCAGCTGTGTTTTTGGTCGACGCCCGTGCTCGACCATCTCATTCTTGACGACGCGCCCTCGAATGCGGAAATGCTCGACACTCTTTGGGAGAATGTTGGCGAGCAGTTGCAGGCGGTTGAGCTTGGCCGCGACGAGCACTTCCGGTGCCACGATTACGTGGCTACTGTGCTCACTGTCTGCCCTGGCGTGCGCGAGCTCAATTGCCGTGTGCTGTATACAGCGGCACCTTCCCTTGGAGACAAGTTTTCGGCGACCATCCCTCACACAAGCCTCAACCGCATCGGACTGCACGCCGTACACTTCCCCGCTGAGGCACCGGAGACGCTGTGGGATCACCTCCGCGCGCATTTCAGCGCATATTCGCGCGATGCTTTCCCGGGGTTGCGCGAATTCGCGTTATACGGCGAGGAGTGGTCGTCATTCTGCGCCGATCCTCGTTTCCGCGAGATTCAGTCCGCTGTGAAGGCTGCTGAAAGGACCATCACGTTTGCCGCCTGAACGAATATATCTTAGATTTGCCTCCCATGTTATCTTGTTCTGTATTGCCCCTGCTCTATTTCTGGACATTGTTATCCGCTGGAATTGTACCCACTCCCTAGATCTCCTTCCGTACTTAGAAACATCCGTAGTAGACTTGCCATGCAGACATGACGTAATTCCCGCGGTTTCGCCTTCCCATCCTGTCTCTTCCACTCAACTACCATGCTCCGCTCATACCCTTAGACGCACAAACTCGCTATAGACGTCTCGCGACACCTAATTTATCATGTCGACCCTTGCTACTTTGGCCGATTTACCGGCCGAACTATACGATCTAATTCTTAGCTATGTCCCACTCCTTGAACGTACTCACACTACGTTCGCGATCATGGTCGCCTGTGCCCGGTCGCCTGTACCCTCTACACATCTCTTCGATCATGTCTCTCTGGCATCTTCCGAGAAGGTCAAGCTCTTCATGCTGCAAGTACGGCGATGGGATAGGGACCTCGTGCGTGAGCGTGTGCGCAGGATATCTCTTGAGGCCTGGAATGCAGACGCGGACGTCGTCGCAATGTTACTCGGCATGCTGCAGGGTCTGGAGTGGATCAACTTGAACATCGGCCCCACATACGCGCCCGAGCATACCGAGGACGTCTTCACGTTACAAAGACCGCTGCTCAAGTATCTGGCAATGCGCTTCAGACCTTAGTACGCACGACACTTTGACCATGCCAACCGTGCGCTCATATGTGTAGTGTCAAGAAGGCAACGTACTACCAGTTTCTGAAGGTGCGCTTTGGTCATCGACGAACACACCGTTGTATTGACAATGAACTCAGGGAGCCTACTTCGACTCTACACTCGTACAGCTATCCAAATGGCCTGCTGGGAGTCTGCCCCTACTATCCATTGTTCAAGACCCGCTCGATCCATCATTGGCCCCAACCCATTTCGCGCAACCCATCGTGTTCTTTCGCCTGGACCCTCTAACTACGTTGTCCCATTCGCCACTGGGAAGTACCCTGAAGTCATTCCGCCTCCGCTTGCCCAATCGCGAGGTCACTCGGCACCTGATACTAGAAAGCGCCGATCGTTTTCAGCCCTTTCCTGCCCTTAACTATCTAGACCTGTCGACGTGTAAAGTGCGTGACGTCGACGCTTCGCGCCTCTTGTCCCACATGCCCGGGTTGCGAATGCTGGTGCTCGATCGTTGTGGGACCGTGAGGGGTGGAGAGGTTGAAGGTGAAGGATGGGAGGAGTTCGGAAAGGCGTTGGCGCTTGGAGGCGTGTTCAGGCAGAAGGAGCGAGAAAAGGAGCTGCGCATCTACGTGGAGGCCGTGACGACCGGTTCGGCACCAGCAGCCCCGCGGCGCAGCGAGCGTAAAGTCAAGAAGAAAGGCCGTAGCGGCATTGCGAACTCGACGATCTCTATACGCGATAGACACAATCAGCTACCGCACCCCATCCCTTCTGGATCTCGGTCTACGCAGACCGGTGATACGGAGAACGATGCCGCTGATGCTCATCTTGCTCAAATCATGGAGACTCTCAGCATGAAGCGCATACGCATTTTACCAGTTGCACCGCGTCTGCGACACTTGGCCATCACCCCAGTGGGGCGTATCTCACCGTCCGCGTACGAGGTCATTCGTACATGCTTCAAACACGGCTGGGAGGACGGTGTGAGAACACTGGACGCAGTGCGGAAGCGGATGCGTACGAGCGTAACGAACGACGTGGTGCGCGCTATGCGCTTCGCGCGTCCAGGAGACGAGGAGTATAACGAGAAGGAGGAAAGGCATCCGCTTGCTGGCCTAGTCGACGTCGATGTCTTGGATGAAGATTGGGAAGAACTGCAGCCACCGCCACCCGCGCTCTGCTTGATGGGACCAGGTCGCGGTGACGATCATGTTGAGCGTTGCGCCCACTCTAGAGGGTGGGAGTTATGGGAAGACGAACTTTAAGTGGTAGTTGGTATAGGGTTGTCTGTCATTGAAAGCGTACATCACAGCGCGATAAAAGCACATACAGCAGCAACGGAGAGCCCTGCGTACAGAAAGTGAAAAAGTAGATGAATAGTATGGTATATCATGTTAGGCTCCGAATCTCAGGTATGTTCTTCACGTCGATAAGACACAATTCGCCGGTCTCTAGGGCAAGGGCAAGCCTGACACCCCTGCCAGTCTGAGGATCTGCCTGCCAGGCCAAATCGAAGACACCGCGGTTGGTGGGAAGGCTGTGGCGCCATGACCACACGCGTCGCATTTCCTGCAAGTCTTGGGTTAGCATCGGCTCAGAATTACCCGTTCCGATCGTGACGCACCCGAATGTCGTAGACATGAAGCCATCCATCACTTCCTCCAGTAACGAGCAGGCGCTTGTTTGGGCTGATGCCCAAAGTGAATACGGGTTTGATGTGATCCCTGAAAATTCTCAGGCACGCGCCGGTGTTGGCGTTCCAGAGACGGGCTGTGCAATCGAAGGACGAACTGTAGAGAAGTTAGGTCAAAGATGCATCGGCAACTATGAGAATGGGAAGGCATACGTGGCAACAACCTCAGTGCCCAACGAGCCCGCCCAGCCGATGTTGTTGACTGGCTCTTCGTGACCGACCAACGCGACACGCTGTGTAATCTCGACGGTCATATTGCTGCGCTTGCCCAGATTGGAAACGTTCCAGATAGAGGCAGTGTAATCATCAGAGCACGAAGCGAGCATACTGGCGGTATGGTCCACTCGGATCGTGTTCACCTCGCTCGTATGTCCACTGCGCAATCATTAGTGCTGAAGCTCTCGAACAGGTGAGAGGCATTGGCGCACATAAACGTCGCGAAGGGATCAGTGTCATCGACATGCATTACGTGAATCTTGTTATCTGATCCGCAGAAAGCGAAGACTTCGTTGGAAATCCACACAACGTCCAAGCAACAACCTGATGCAAGTCAGCAGGTAGAGAGACGGAGCGGACGAGCGAAACCATACCTTCGTGCTTCGCGTACTTATGCAATTTCTTCTCTGTGATGTTCCAAACACAGGTTGCATGATCGAGGCCAGCGGATACCAGCCAGTGGCCATTTTTTGAGAAACGCGCGGAGAAGACCGGCGACTGCTCACGAGATAAGTCTCACGCGGTTCGCAGAAATAGGTCTAGGTCAACTTACCCTGTGCATAGCGCCTTCCATGTGCAGCTGGCCGTTTGATGTGATTACCCGTACTTTGTGGTCGTAACAGCCGATAGCAAGCAGGTTCCCAAAAGAATTCCAGTCCAGAGAAGTCAGATCTCCGTCAACGTCGCCGCCAAGCTTGAGAGCAATATTATTAGGGGTAGCACTGGTCGGTCCATGCAGTTGAGATAATCGTTTGAGATGCACAGTGCCATCTTTTGAGCTACCGCTTGGTCAGACGACTTTCGGCGCCTATCGTGGGAATCTGCTCACCCTGCGGCGAGAAGATGCGGCTCGCGGGGATTCCAGGCAACGCAGAAGAGCTATCAAAAGGCAATTGAGAGCAGAAGACAATGTCGTTGAAGAGTGTGACCGACCTCAGAGCCACCACACTCAAGTAACCGGGTGAGGTCGTACTGTTCTCCCACAATGGAAGACACGTATTCGAGCTCTTTAACTGGCCCTCCTGGGAGCTCTACACGCATTTTCGTGCCACCTTTGAGTTCTTGGACGACGCTCCTTGGTTGCAAGACCGCACCTTTTGAACAAGAGGGTGAGGTCAGCAAATGGCATCAGTCAAACGTATCAAATGATGTACCATCAGCAGGAGACGCCCATTCTACCTTTGCAGCCTTACTGATCTCTTTGTATTCGACGGACTCCGCGACCTTACGTTTTTCAATGGCGGATTCTAGCGTAGCTGATGGCTTGAGTCTGGAGTCAACGTTGCATATGTGTTCCTCCATGAGATAGAATGGCGAGGTGCAGTTGGTGACCATCTCATCCTTGCCGACATAGTGCTTCTCTGCTTCGTTGTAGAGCAAAGCCTTCCCGAGAAGCGAGATAAGCTCCCCATATGGCACATTCTTGTTGAAGGCATCAAAGGCGTCTAGTTGAGCCTCAGCACGTAGTGAGAACGCGGCGTGTTTGAAACCTGAATGCCCGAATCCGGTGGTTAGAGTCTGACTTCGAAGATTCATGGGCCGGCGTATCTGACCTGATTCTTGCAGGTAGCGGTGTATAAGACAGTTTATCTCGTCCGCCTTCAGGACCATATGTCCTGCCATGGCGTTAGTCAAGAAAGGAGGTGGCCAAAAGAGAGTGGTGTTGGGCGTCGATGTTCAAAGTCTGCGATTGAATGGATGACCGTGGGCTCTTGGCAGTGTCGTGGGAATCTCGCGACTTAAATGGCCGCAACGTCACAGACGATGGCGCGGGCCGTATCGCCGTAACGCTACCCACTCCTTGCCCGAGTGTCCGGATGCGAAGGGGCATGTCAGCATATCGTCTATCCACACTCAGGCTGCGTCTAGCGCCTCTCTTCCCGCTGTTACCCCCATCACGATGAGCACGCGCTTCAACGAGCTCGACCTCTCCGACAACGACATGGACGGCGACTACGAGTACCGCCACGAGGAGGACGAGGATGTGATGGCAGAAGACGAGGATGAGTACAGCGACGACGAAGACGGGGATGTCGGTGAAGCTGATGCTGCCGCGCTCAGTGAGATCGCTCAAGGTGCGCATGACGTCGCTGCTCACGCGTATACTGACTAAACCCCGTTGTAGCTATGGTGGACTTGGAGAACGCTGCCGATGAGGAGGACGCAGAATCAGGTCGGTATCTCGCGTGCATTGACCTGATGTCTGTCTCTTACTCTCTCCCAGATCACGAGTCGGCGGATGGGGATGCCTTGATGTTGGAAGACGAGGACGAGGACGATGACATCGAGGTTCAGTCTGTGCCCGCCTCCTTTCTCTTTCGCCTGCTCAGAGAGGCGCGCGCGAACCGTCGTCCCATGCGAGAGATGCCATCCTTCACCAAGCCACATGCGGAGCCTCAGGAGGCCGGTGTACGACTGCTCATGGGTGGCGAGTTCGGTCGTGTGCGCGTCAGGCACGATATGCGCTCTCAGAGGCACAATGTCGCCAGGCAGTTGCTATCCCGTAGGAGTCAATTGCGACCTGTACCGAAGCAGGATATAGTTCAGGTGAGAATATCGAAAGTCGTTTATCTTACATCGGCTAAGTCTGGATCAGGGTCTCGTACCGAATACCAACGGTACACATGTGGCGCACGAAGAGTCAAACATCTACTGTGCCCAGTTCAGTGCTGGTAAGTCCGCCCTAAGCCTCATTCATTCCTTGCTCAAGAACGACATAGACTCATCCTTCTATTATACTGGTACTCAGGGTAAATCGTGAACCATGAACCCTCAGTACTCGTACTTGCTCATCCTTGACCGCACAAAGACTTCAAGATTAATGTCTACGACATGTCCGCGCCTATCACCCAACCGGGAATACAACCGACTATAGCTGAACGTAGAGGCCATCGCCGTCGCCCAATAGTTTCCAACGATGCCCAGTCAGCATTGAAACTATCCAAATCGATCCAAGGCATACCTGGCCGTTGGACAATGACGGATACGCATCTCAGTCCAGATAATGAGCGGTAAGTTTCTTCCCAGTCACGTCGGCAGATATCGTACTCACTCTTCGGTACAGCGTCATATATTCTTCCCTTGTGAGACCATTCTTACATTGCCTTAACCTGTATGCTAACACTCACCAGACCCCAGTCGTGTACATGGCTACCACCCTCGATGGTTCTGAGCAGCAGATTCCTATAAACTTTGAAACCTCAAGATCGCGCGTTCCAGCTTGGGGATACGATGAAGAATACTTCCGCATCTACAGTACCCGATTCTCCGCTGATGGGAAGGAGATCATCGCTGGCGGCAGTGGTCTCATCTGCGGTGAGCATCACCATTCAAGCTGTCAGCATATAGCTGATTCGCTACAGTATATGATCTTATGGCCAACCGACGGTCTGTCAGGATCAAGGCTCACGAGGATGATATCAACGTACGTCGTGTTCTTGTCTCAGTCCGAATTGAACTGAACCCTCGCGCAGAGTTGTTGTTGGGCTGATACAGCGTCTGGTAACGTTCTGGTCAGCGCCAGCGATGATACTACGCTGCGAGTCTGGGATCGACGCTCTTTGGGCTCTTCTCAGAAGGCTTCAGGAGTCCTCATCGGCCACACAGAGGGTATCACCTACGTTTCAGCTAAAGGTGACGGGCGATACGTGATTTCCAATGGCAAGGATCAAACCGCTCGCTTATGGGACCTCCGCTACATGCGTAGCAATCATGACTGGGAGAATGTAGCCGACAAGCACTACGGTATCGAAGACTACGACTACAGGTATGTGTGCAGCTTATTGTCACGCTTCAAAGCCTTGCTCACTTGTCTATAGGTACGGCGACTACCCGCCGCCTCGACACGAGTCGCATCCGATGAACTGCAGTGTTATGGCCTTCCGTGGACACCAAGTCCTGCAGACGCTCATCCGCTGCCATTTCAGTCCTGCTGAGACGACCGGTAGTCAATACATTTACTCCGGCTCTTATGATGGACGTATACACGTACGTATTCGCGCGGTAAAGACATGTCACGAACGTGGACTAATGTTCACACCAGATATGGTCTCTTGACGGCCGGATTGTGCAAGTGCTCGAGCGTTCGCGCTCCCTGCCAATCAACTTCGACCCTTCAGCACCCGAGTACGGGGCAACTCAAGGCGAAGCGGAACGTATCTGTGTTCGCGATGTTAGCTGGCACTCCCGTGAGCCGGTCATACACAGTGCTGCATTCGAGAGTAGCAGAATGGGAAGTACTGTCGCCAGGCATGAGTGGAAGGGTCTTACCAAGACGGCGGGTGCGCTTGAGGATTGGGTTGAGAAGGATAGGTTGGAGAGAGCGGAGCGCCCCGCGAGGCGCATGCCAGGGCAATTCCTCGATGAAGAGGATTAGACCGCATTTGTATCTTTATTGCGCCTGCATTGTTATACAGTAGCACATCGATGTGTACGGAGAGTAGTGTAAGATAATTTCCGAGGGAACTCATGAGATGGGTGCTGGCGGGCTGTGCTGATGATCTAGACGCCGGCTTCTGCGGATTCTTGGCGGAGGGGCGCTTAAGCGAACCATACTCGACCTGAACCACCATCACCTTTAATTGCAATAGTACCTTAGGAGAGCTACCTCCAGCATACCGGAGTCTTCGTATAGTCATCATCGTCGTATCATGTCGTATGCTATGGATAACAACGGCTTCCCTCCTGGTTACTTTGTCGTGCGCTCGGTCGCGTGCAACAGGCTTCTAGACATCGATAGCGACTCTAGCGAGGATGGCGCGGACGTGATCCTCTATCCGGAGTCAGAGAGCTCTCTGGTAGAAAGTGCGCAGCGGCTAGTATCTCTTCATAATGGTGCCTAACATGGAACCTCATATGCTCAGGCTTTCGAAACCCCGCTTCGAACAACCAGGTCAGGGGCTTCTCCTTCAGAAAGAGTCAGGGAACTGATGTTCGTTTACCCAGGTGTTCTTCATCGACACAGAAGGCGCTCTTGCTTGTAGAAGCTCTGGCCATGCCGTCGATGTCGAAGGTACCCGATGCGTTTAAATATCGCTGCTTATTCACTGACTCTTTTTGCAGAGAGCCGACTAGTGCTTCGCCACCGTCGGCCTGTATCCGAGCCATATCCAAATCACTACTCGCACCCGCTACCCAAGTTCCGCCTCGATCCGGCTACAGGGCTTATAACCGTGACGTTCACCTGTGATCCCGAGTACCCAGACAACCCGCACTTCGACGGTGAATGGCGCAACAAGGTCTACTACCTAACCTCCATCCCTGAGAGAAAGCCGCGTACCATCTTCGATGATGCGGCCGAGGCCATCGGCAGCGTCTTGCGTTCGCCACTGGCCTTTCTCCAAAACCCACAGTTGCCGCCGACGTCTCCTACTCCTGATCAAACCTTTGATCTCCGCGACGATGAGATAGAGGAGCAAGAACGTGCGGAGGAAGGGGAGGTTGATGATTCGGAACAGGTCCATCGGCATGTGCGCGTTGTGGGCGTCACACTCGATGAGGATCGTCGTCTGGGAGAGAAGGC